GACTTTTTTACACCAAAACTATATTTATGATTAAATTTGGAGGTGTGCCTTAATTAGATTTTTTATGGTTGCAACTTTATACAAACCACACCCTTTTATTAATTCAAATAAATAATCTAAAAAAACATAAAATTAATTATTTTTAAGGCTCAAAATTCTTTTTCTTTGTGGAATCTCGATCTTGGTAGCCTATGCGACGGGCTCAACTTTGAATCTTTTAGGATGATGAACTCGCTATAGCGGGCGCGTCCCAGGAAACCTAACACTCTTATAGAATAGAATCTGGTGTATGCAAATATTTAAATCTTATCCTATATTCATTCATTTAATTTTTAGTTTTTCCATTTTCCTGTTTTGAGAGTTAATTGCATATATTTAGGAAATATTGGTGTAAAATCTGACGATCTTTCTAATAATTGCCATCAACATTTCAGGACTCGACCGAGTTACTTGGTCTTGCCTGATGAAGGAAAATTTGGGTGCCCAATTCAGCAGGCGCCAAATAAATTGTAAAAAATATATAGAAAATATAAAAAATAGAAAATATTTAAAAATATGTTTTTAGATGATTCTAATGGTTTTTAAGATGATTTGGGAACTTTTATTGTCGCCTGATCCAATTTTATTTTATTTTTTTTGAAATGTTCATGATACAAATCAATTTTTTCAGTTGTCCATCTTTCAATTTTTTTTCATCTTCTATAGTTTTTCAATAATTTCTATTGTTTCTTTTAATTTTTGCTGATTTAATATATTTTTTACCTTTCTGTTTATTTTTTTCTATTTTTTATTATATATATTGCGAGATCCTGACCGAAAGCAATTCTAAAAACATTGAATGCAAAGCAACCATTTGAAGTTACTTCTAGTAAGAAGAAGGGAACCTTATGACTAGCTCCCCAGGACCTTAAGGGTTCTCAGTCACACCCTCACGGCGGGAGAGAGAGAGGGGTTGGATCGAGTCCTGGTGTTCCTAGACTTTGAGCTAGACTAAAATCTACCCAAGTCCAAGACAAATCGTTCTAGACCCAGGCCTGATAGGGGGTACAAGACACGGACTGTCCCATACCCATCTTGGGAAGTTAAGTTGGGTCAGGGTGACCCGACCCAGGTCCAATATAAGTAGGATAAAATTATAGGAGGTTTTAAAAATAAAACCTCTTATATTTTGATTGTCAAACCCAAAAGTCTACAACTAATCAATCCCATGTATCAAAAGGTTTAACTCTAGAAATGTATACATTGAGATCATTTATTTATTTTTGATATAGGGAGATCATAATCATTATTAACCATTAGATATAATATTAGGTGGTTTAGAATGTGTCAGTGACTGGTCACAAAGTCTAAAATAAAATTTCTTGAATGTTGTGACCAATGTTAGAAAGTGCGACTCGAATCGAGTAATCAGTCTTAGCCTGAGCCTAATACTCAAGTCGGGTCTGAGTAAATAGTTTAAAAAAATAGATTAAAAAATCAACTTGATATTTTCAAAATAATCCAAAAAAGATGGGAAAAATGTAAAAACAAATATATTGGCCAAAAATACATTTGCCAACATGATAGAAAATACATATATAAAAAATACATTGGAAAATTTTCAGATTTTTTTTTATTTTTTGAATTTTTTAATATCCCTTTATTGAACACCCAATGGGGGACATCTCAGTTTGGCAAGGGCTTGAGTAACTCAGCTGATTTTACAAACACTGGTTGTGATATACTTCAATCCATTGAATATCACATCCAATGTGTAAAAATGATAGTGGGTTTGTGACCATGTACCAAAAATGAATAATCTTATATTATATAATCGCTTGACTCCCTGAAGCCCACTCTCTCTTTATAGATAATCCAAAAATTTAAAAGACATAAAAAACGAAAATAATACGTATGTTACTATGTAAGAATGTCTCCCATTTGAGTGAGAAAAAAGAGTAAAATTCAAATTGAAGGCGGTGGGAAGGGAAGGGGGTGGCTATCTAACAAAGAATGAGTAAAAAAAAACAAAATGGCTTATATATTGGAACAGGAAATGACCTATTATGCTTTACAATGGGGTCCATGCTTCTTGACCCAAGCCCAACCTGTCGTGTCCAGAAGCAAGATCCAAGACCTCGACCTGTGTTGGGTCAACCCAACCGATTCCTAGTCCCAAGGAGAGATCTTCATGACATTGCATTATAGGATTGTATAAGAAGAGATCATTTATCTTTTGTATATTAAAGTCATAATTATTCTTGTTTTTTAAATTTTAAATGGATGGTATTAAGAGTGCTATTGAATAGGCAGCTTTTAAAAAAAAAAATACTTGAATTTCATAACTCATCCCAAGCCATCCAATTTGACATCTAATGAACGGAAATAATTGTCATCTTTATATCCAAAAGATAAAAAGTCTCTTTATAGACAATCCGTGATATTAGGGTGACATTTCAAAGTTCACGGAAATCATATTAAGAGGAAAATCAAAACGGATGAAACGATAGTTTAGCATACACGATATATGCTAAACCGGGGATGGTTATACCAACTGAATGTACGTACACATTTCCTAATTATAATCCCTATTTACTTCATATCTATCGTCCGTATTGGGAATCAAGGAACGTCTAACATACCCATCGTGTGTATATAAAAGGTAGGGAAATTTACGTATGGACCGGTTTTAATAGCGTTATAACTAAATAGTAAAAAAATAGGCTATTAACCCAGAACGATGGGAACTTTAAATTTTTTATTTTTTACCAAGTTTGCTTTCAATCTGATTTTTTAAACCTCAGATCATTTTTTTCTTTAAATTTTTTCCCGTTTTTAGCAAGTTTGCCCTAGTCCGATTTTTGAAACCTCGGACCCCTTGGTAACATTTTAAAAAAGAGAACAATTAACAGTATGATGTAACCGCGTTTTCAAACAAAGCTTTTGTTGCCTCCAACTATTGAGGAGAAATGGCGGGAGCCATGGCTACAGATTTCCATTAATGCGCGAGTGTTTATAAGTTGTGCTCTGGGTTTGGACCGGGTTCTGCCAAATTAGAAGGCAACTTAGATATGATATTTAACCATGGCTCCAGCCATTTCCCCACAATAGTTTCAAACTAACAATTTATTTATTTATTTTTATTTTTATTTTTATTTTTTGGGGAAAATGACCTTTAACTCACTATCCGAAATTTCCATTTTTATTAATCCTTTAGGTTAACCAAAATCCTTTGTATTTCTTCAAGTTTTAAACTTTAGCCCCCTAATTATATTTTTATTTGTTTTTTTTACAAATTTGATCTTTTTGTTTTACAAAATGAAAAACCCATATATTAGTTATCCATATTTTTTTTTGTCACTTGCTGTATAAATTTTATTGATGATAATAATTTATAATTATTAATAATAAAAATAATAACATCAATGATATATTAATTGTTAAATATTTCATTTCTTGTAAGTATTTTAATAAAGTTTTTGATAAATAAATAATAATAACCATTAACAATAGTAACAAATATCTTGATTAATCATTTTCAAGTTCAAACAATATTGATATAATTGTAAAATAGGTCATACTATTAAAAAAAATTATTATTTTTTTATGTCTAAATATATAGAGTGGGATTCACATAGGGTACGCAATGGAAGAGAAAGGAAGAGAAAATTTTGTAAAATGAAAAGATCAAATTTATTAAAAAAATAAAAAAAAGCACAATTAGTGGGCTAACAGTACCGAAATTTTAAATTTGAAGAGGTATAAAAGATTTTGTTGAACCCAAAGGGCTAATAAGGATAGAAGTTTTAAGCTGGGAGTAAAGATCATTTTTCTTTTTTTAAAAAATTGTCCCATGTTAAAAACATCAGGCACCTTACTGTTGAAAATAAGGTCTGATGTTGACCATTAACTCTTTTTTCTTTTTTTATGAAAAATATGATCCGACTTTGAAAACATCATACCACTTTGAAATGTTACCAAAACTTTTGATGTTTAAAAAATCGGACTAGAGGCAAACAACAAAATTGAAAAACTCGGGGTTCTCGTCCTTCTGAGTACGAACTTCACATCACATTTTTTGTGCTATTTCGTTATAACGCTATTAAAAACAGGTCCAGACTTACGTTAACATCTGTTTACTGATTTTTGCAAGATCATTTCGCTGATGACCGTTATTTTGATTTTTTGCTGGAACTGATAGTTTGGGGTATGATAAGTCGCATTCTATTTGATTTTTTTGCTTCAACAATGTTCAGAGAATCAGTTCATAGAATCGTACAAACACTAAGAAGTGGAAATGATGGGATGCCATATTATGCATCTAGAGAGAGAAAGAGAGATGGGTTACAAACCAAAATAAAGAGGAGAAAGAGAGAACGGATTAATGGGGTTGAAGCGAGAGAGATGGGATTGAGAATAGAGACAGAGAGAAACATGGGTTGAGATGAAGAGATAGGCTTGAGATCTCTAAAGTTGAAATTAAGAGAGAGAGAATAAAATATTCATAAATGGGAAACAGATGTTGAGAAAATAGGCCCATAATAGTTCAACAACTGATAGCTGTTGAATGGACAGCACTGTCAGTAAAAGACTCAAGCTTGGTCCTGAAGAGAAGAACCTGCAACTAAGAGAGAGAAAAAGAGTATAGACAAAAAGCTGAAAAAGGATTAGGTTTGACAGCATTTCCTATTTATTAATCATTATTTTATTTTTTTATTTTTTTTACAGAGAGCAGTTGGTAGTGGTTAATCATTCAGAAAGTCTCCACAGTTTGACAGGTAAGCCTGTAAAAACACCCACCAATTTCCATTTTGTAATAATTAAGATGAATTTGATGCCTTTTGGGATTCTTTGACGGTACATCATTTATGGGTCTCTGAAAACAAGCTCTGGTTTCTGGTTATGGAATCTTCAAACCTCAATAGATCATACCCATTTCCATTCCCTTATTAAGTCCTTAAGATTTTAAACCTGAATTTGATGTAATGGGTCTGAGTAAAACATCAAATTCTGGTAATTTTCTGAATTTTACTTGTTCTCATTGTGAAGTTCAATCTTCAAAGGATCTCTTTTTTACTTCCTCCTTGTAAAAGCCTCTGGTATACTGAAGCCCTCATTTGGGTCTCTGATGAAAACTGTTGTAAGTTTTTTTTTTTTGAGGCTATGGCATTGAGGATCAAGAAATTCTCCTAGTATTCATTTCTGGAAAGTCTTATCAATGACTGATCCTTTATGGGTTTGGCTGAGATTCAGCTTGAAAAATAAATAAGAAACTGCAGGTTTTTGTCTCCTGAGCTCCAACAGTGAAGTTTTAGGGGTTTTATGGATACCCAATTTCAGGGAATGGTTTTATAAGGGTTTTATATGCCAACTTCAGCAAATTTCAGAGTTTTATGTCTCAGGGTTCTATTTGATATACCAATTTTAGCAAAGATTTCATGTTTTGGGGTCTTTTTCTTTTGATACCCAATTTCCAGGAAATTCCTTAATTTAGTGCTTTGGGATTTCTTTCAGACTCCCAATCTCAGGATATTCCATTGTTTGGTCTTTTAGGGTTCTTCTCAGAACCCAATTTCAGGAATTTGCAGAGGGCGTTTGTTGTGGCATTTAAGGGCTTTTAATATCCAGGATTACAAGAATACTAGCTTTTTAATATAAATCTTACTGTAGAGTTATTAACAAAAATAAGAATACCAGGTCAGATTCTTTGAATTAGAGCTGGTTAGCAACTTAGTATATGATATACACCACTGGAAAGAGGAATCACTGGGGGCATCTGCTTTCTACTACTCTCTCTAACATTCCTTTACCTGTCTAATGTGTTGTGTTAGTTAATGCCATTCTTTGCTTCCTGTCTCCCTTTATGCTCTGAACACTTACTTTTCCTGTTTGTGGGGCATTAGCAGTGGATCAATCTAATGGTGGAGAGGTAAAGTTATATCTTTGGTGGATGGTGGATTTTATCTCTGACTGGTTTGTGGGCTTACCTTTTCTTTCTCTCTCTAGGATGCTGTTTTCTATAAATACTTTTCCCACTTTCACCTTCTTGGAACTCTAGAGAGCATAAAGCTGCTAAGCGTCCTTTGTTCCTTCTTGTGTCCTACAAGAAATTACCAGTTGTTATTCCAGTCAAATGCTCCTTGCTTTAGTTAGGGCTTATTGCTTTTTCTCCATTTAGATAATATCTTGGGCTTAATTAAGGTCAATGCCTTAGATAATTCGGCTTCAGTAGTAACTTTAGGGGAAGAGAGAATTGGGTTATCATTTTCTAAGCATGGGTACTGTTGGAGGGGATGACTTTGGGTTTGGAGAAAAAAATGAAAACCTTCTGGATTACTGGAACCCTGCATCTTGTCCAAATTTGCATTGTGATAAGTTCATGAAGAGTAGCACTACTAGTTCAGTTTCTCTATGTAAACCAGCTCCTTTTATGGATGGAGCATGTTCTTCTGGTAGTATGAGCTGTTCTTCCTTGACCACTGGCTGCGATCTTCATGCTCTAGAGAGAGAAGAAATGGGTTTTGAAGGGTCTATGCTTTCTCCACATCAGGGTACATTTCCTTCTCAAGATAGCCGGTTCTCTGAGATAGCTAGTCCTTTTGATCCTTTTCTAGATACCTCGATTGTTCAGGCTACTTCTCCTACAGAGCAACCATCAAAGGATCATCATAGAAATGTTGGGAACTCTGGAGTTTCAATTGGTAGACTTGATGGAAAGAAAAGGAAACGAACGGCTGAAAATCCCCCAATTGAATCTTCTTCCCAATTCAACAGTGTGCAGGTGTAATTGTAATTCTATCTATTATTCCCAATAATTTATCCATTACTAACTAGAGTTCTTTTATCCCTTTCATGATCAGTTTTTGCTTTTGTTGTTTGATACATCTGGTTTCTATTCTATCTCAACTTGTTTTCTACCTCAGACCATGATTAGAAAGACTAGAAGTCTAAATTAATGAATGATTTTTATGGCATAGACTATCAAAGAAGATGAGAAGAGAGATGTTAAATCTTCAAAAGGGGATGATGAAATGAAGTCTAAGATTGTTCAAAAGCCAGGCGCAAACACAGCTAAGCCTAGTTCGAAACAAGGTATGGAGCAACCACAAAATGGTGATGCTCCAAAGGAGGGTTACATCCATGTTAGAGCCAGAAGAGGCCAGGCCACTAATAGCCACAGTCTTGCAGAAAGAGTACTCTTCTCCTACATCTCTCTTCTTTTCTTTCTTTTGTTTTTTTAGTGGGTGGGGGTTGGGAATTGTTTCTTGTTTGCTATCTCTTACTAGAAAAAGTGGTTTTCTTAGTCATCTCTCTTCTTTGTTTCCCTTTCTTTCAGTTTAATACTTTTGTGGTGGTCGGTGGGGAGTTAGGATTCGGTTATTTTTGAATATTTCTTACTACAAAGAGTAACCTTCTCATTCATTTCTTTTCCGCTTCTGAGGTTCTTTTTCCTTCCTTTTGATCGTTGTGGCGGGGGTTTGGGGTTGGGAATTGTTTCTGTTTTTCTTTATCTCAGTGTTTTATATGTATCTTTTTATTGATACAATTCCTCCATGGTCCAATTAGAAAGCTAACTCTCATGAAATATAGGTGAGAAGGGAAAGGATAAGTGAGCGTATGAAGTTTTTGCAAGATCTTGTTCCAGGATGCAGTAAGGTAAGAGATGGATGCTCGTTTTCGTCTTGAACTTCTCTAATTTAGCGTGGTGTTTCAGCTTTGCATCTGATCTCCATTTCACATTTTCTTTTATAATGGTTATACAGGTTACTGGGAAAGCATTAATGCTTGATGAGATAATCAATTATGTGCAGTCACTGCAAAAGCAGGTTGAGGTATGGTTCTGTCATTTAGAAACTGGAGGAAATATGTTCTTATTTCTGAATTCATAGTAGAAAAATCATTTTTTGGATACCAGTCTAAACCTCATGAACTTAATGGATGATCAGTCCTCTAAATTACAGTCTCTGAGATCTTTGTCTCTCTCTCTCTCTCTCAACCCCTTCGTAACTTCCTGATGAATTAGAATTGGTAAGCAAAGCATTTTCTTTGTGAGAATATATGCTACAATTCATATCCATTTTCCTATTTTAAAGAAGGATGTGGTTTGTATAAGGCCTCACCCATAAACAACTGAAGTAAGGCGCACCTTGAAATAATGTCGAGAGACGTCGTTTTAGTGCTAGAAATCTTTGTGATGGCCTAAAAACTTATTTTTTTATATCTAATTATAAAATTTAAAGCTTTACAAATACTGTAGATCGAGCAGAGCTATGAACACTTGAAAATCTTGAAAATTAACAGTCCAGAAAATGCATTACATGATGCACTATTTCCAATAATTGAAATCCATTTTTTCTCATGTCCATACATCTTGAGATCGAGATGATTGATTTGAGGATTTTTGAGCATCGAAACAATCTTTTCTAGTGAATTTTTGAGGTGTGCCTTAATTTGATTGTTTAGAACCTCACCCTTATATAAACATTTTCCTTTAAAGAAGGACCAAACTTCCCCCACACATGTTCAAATGAATCTATTAATGCTAGATTTTCTAAAAATGATGAAAATGTTCTCATGGGCTGACCTGAAAAAACAACTATTTCTCATACATGATAGTATTCCTTTCTGTATTCTGTATTTTTTAAAATATTTATTGATTTAATATTGTATTAGCCTCGGAATGCCTATTATTGCAGTTCCTGTCGATGAAGCTTGCCACTGTCAATCCACAGATGGACTCCAATATTGAAAGAATTCTTTCAGAAGATGTAAGAGAAGGCTTATAATAGTACCATTCACTGGGATCATCACTGTCCAATGAAATGATGGAGATGGACAGTTATGGAGAGAGTAGTACCCACCAGTGGGGTAACGTCCTGTTCTGGTGGGGTCCAACATTCTCTCCATTACCGTCCATTTCATTGGATGGTCATGACCTAATAGACTATGGTTTTCCTCTTTTTTTTTTTTGATGAAATGGTTTTCCTCCATCTCCATTGGATTATCAGTTATTTTTTTTATGGGCATTTTCCGTTAATGAAATAGCCGAATAGACTTGTATCTAACTGAATCATCTCGTGCAGCTACTGTCTATGAAGCTTGCCATGAATAACCTACAGGTGGAGTCTGATATCCAAAGGATCCTCTCGAAAGATGTAAGCATGTGACTAAATACTAAAAATGCTATCTATATATTTGATCCTGAAGTATTCTAGTAATAGAAAAATCTAGCAAGTTTATGCCTCGGTTTGTGTGTAATTGTTTTTGTGTTTGTGTGTGTGTGCGTGTGTGTGTGTGTGTGTGTGAGAGAGAGAGAGAGATTACAGGCTATTCTGAACATGGCTTTCTTTGTATTTGCAGATTCTTAATTCACAAGGTGGTGTCCCATTGCTTCTTGATTTCAGTCCAGGCCATTGCTTGTCTGACCCTTTTGTCAATTCATCTAGACAAGGAACATCACATGCAGGAACGGCAGCTCGCAGTATAGAAAACACAGTAAGCACGCTCAGATTTGTAAACTCTGCATAAATAGTGATGCTCTAGGTTTCTCCATCTCTAGTCATCTTGGCCTCACTTCCAAAAAGACTCGTATACTCTTTGGAGGGTGTGCTAAAATCCAATTCAACATGGAGAATCATAGTCCAATGGATCATGCTGGATGGTGATGGAGAGAGCAGGGCCCACAAGGTGCTTTTCTTAGTTCCATTTCACTGGATGATAATGACCAAATTGGACCATGGTTTTCCGAATTCCATTGATTCATAGTATTAGTTTTTTTTTTCTATAATTTTCATGAGCTATATACCTGTGCCACTTTTTCTTAATTAAAGCACGGGAACGCAGATACCAGGTGTTTGGGATGATGACCTACATAGCATTGTGCAGATGGGTTTTGGCACTGAAGTTCCTTTTGACATAGAGCCAAATAGCAAGATTACGAGGTAGTTGATTGGGCTTTTTCCTTCTTTTCTTTCTTTGGTTATTTGATTGGTTTCATCATCTCTTTGGGTTGGTTTTGTTGGCTTCCTTAACCACTACTCGGTATTCTCAGTTCTCAAAAGGAGTGGAATAGAATGCATAGTCTTTAACCTTACTGTTTGTCTTATGTTTGGGGTGGCAAAGATTATCCCCATCCATTTAAACTGATTCTGTGATAGATGTGTGGTCTGAAACCTCCTGATCCTTTGGTTCATTCTTCGAGTTTTATCAGAAGAGATGATTTGATTGACTAATCCAATGTATATGTAGAGACCTTAGAAGGGATCTCTCAAGTGTCATGTAATGTGGTTCTATTAACCAGAAAGAACAAAGAAAAATGTAAAAGGGGTGAATTGCTTGGGTTATGAAGTGAATGAGTTTTGTTTGTATTGAAGCTAAAGAGCATCGGAAGTCATCGTCGTCATCATCATCAAAGCTTTTTTTCAATTAATTAGGTTTGACTACACGAAAAGAACACTGGAAGTACTGATGTTCATATACTTACTAAATTTCTATAACTCCTGTTGTAATTTTTCTATGGCCAACTCGCCATTGTGGCTTATACATGTGCATCTTTAAATTCTACAATTGGTAAAAAAACTGGTGTTATAAGGGTTCTATGGCCGTTATAACACTTACACCCTAACTAGTAAGTTAAACGGCCCCAACAGTATGGTGGTGGTTATTTCTGTTGCAAAAGCTGCTTTGGGAGTTGTTATTTCTGTTGCAAAAGCTGCTTTATAGCAGCTTTGGGGGTTGTTATTTCTGTTAGAAAAGCTGCTACGCATAAGCATAAGTCTGTTATTGTTCGTTAAATAATTTCAAGAAAAAAATTTAAAGTAAAATTTGAAAAAAGTTTCTTTATTTTTTCACAAAACCATTGTAGTGGGAAAAATTTATAATCCACGGGCTAATGCATCATAAAGCTGGTGGAGCCCAATTTCTGCATAAATGTAATCTCATCCAAGCAATCAAAAAATATTTATAAAAATAAAACACATAAGGAAAAGGTAAAAATGAATGCGTCATTATGGTAAAAATTAGGGGTGGCAATGGACCCGGATTCAATGCGGGCCCCGAGGGTTTGACCCGATCAAGGTTCTGTTATGGGTTAAAAAATTGGATCTAGCAGGTCGGGTTTGGGTCTAAATCTTAGACCTGAACACCATTCCAGTCGAGGTCTAAGTTTTGTAATATTTTTCAGATCCTAATATATGAAATATATTTAAATATAATTAAATACATAGATTTTTTTGGGTAAGCTCTGGACTTGGACCCGATGTGACCCGACCAATTGCTACCCCTAGTAAAAATGAGTATTGTTGACCACCCGTTTGAAGGACGGGAGATCTAGGTACTGGCCAGTGAATTTATAACACAGTACACGCCCATTTCCTCCTAATGCTAAATGTTTTCCTCCGGTTTGTGGAGAGGGCCCTACCATGATAGGAATTGAGCTTAGGACGTAACGTTGCAAATCGTCAAGCGCTACCAATTGAGCCCTGGTTTTTTTCCTAAAAGCTATTATATATTTCCTCTATACATTTTGAATCTCAAAATTTGAGTTGTAATCTTTTACAATCCATAGAACAATCTTGGTAAAAAAAAAAATTTCCAAAATAAATTCTTTATGTACTAGAAAAATTTATGTCTCAACGATGAATAAAGACCGTCTAATTTTTTATTTCCTAGATTCAAGTTTCACAAAATTTTAAAAATAATTTTTTTATTTTAAAAATAATCATCATCATCATCAAAGTTGTTTTTCAACTATTTGGGTCGGCTTATTTTAAAAATAATCATCTAATAATTATCATGTGTTTTCAAAATTTTAGACTAAGAAAATTCCAGTAGATATTTTGAGTGAGAGAGGAGATGCGCAGTATCCACCCTACTTGCGCAGTTTCCAAAAGTTTCTCCTATAACCATTTTTCAAAGTGATATGCTTATATTTCTCTTTTATCTTCTTCCTATTTCCTTTTTTTTTTGTACCCTTCTTCTTTTTCTTTTCTTTTTTATTTTTTTGTTTGGTTGTAATTTTTTCCTTGATTCTTCAAAGTTAAATGCCATTTACAATGTTCATTAGTAATTATAAAACAGAACTACACTAACCCGTGTCGTTTTCCTTAACTCCGAGTTAGCCACCCTAGTTATCTAAGTGTAGAGTCCCCTAACTACAATTACCCCGTGCTGTTTTACTTAACTCTGAGTTAGCCACCCCGCTTATCTAAGTGTCGAGTCCCCTAGATAATGAAGGGAAGCAAGATTATAAAGACCAGACTGTTCATCAAACTAGTAAAGGGTTAGCTTAATTAAATTTAGTATAGTTGTTAGTCGAACTGGTTGGATTTTATTTGAAAAATAAAAAGAAAAAACACAATAGTTCAAAAATTTAAAATATAAACTTTAATTCCAAAGCCAAAATCGGTTTACCCAACCAACCGAAATTAATAAAATATATTGGCTTGGACTTGGCTTCTAACTTGACTTCGTTTCTATTTTGAACCAAACGAATCAAGGTACTATTCGATGGTCGAACCAGCAGATCTGATCCAGTCTTGCTACCTAATTGGAAAAATATGCATGTAGGATTCACGTGCAATAGTAGTGATCCAGTCTTGCTACCTAGCTGGGAAAATATTCATGTAGGATTCAAGTGCAATAGTAGTTGTATATGCTAGCATGAAAATAGACATGCCATTCAGCCATCTAGTTTAAGTTGGGAGGCTCATTTCTTTTTTAGAAATTCGTCATATTTATCAGAAATTTAAAACAGAATTTGAGATGGAAAATATATTTCTAAGCGGCCGTGTCAAACCAGTGTTTTGAAACTGCAATCACTAGAGCGATGTTTCACCCACCCACTGATCCTTGTGGAATAGTTGGATCGGTGATCCTGATAAATCCACATTGGTAATCTAGAAAGTATTAAAAATAACTTAAAATAAAGATTATGGGGTGAGGATTTAGATGTGACCTAAAAAACATAAAAATGCCTAAAATATTAAAATATATATACATAAGGGGAATTTAGGGGAACCAGGATACATACATAGAAATTAGGCGGCATTATTTCTGAAAAATATTTTTTTTGTTATTAACACATATCTGACGATTTGATGGTTGTGATATTTTTGTAAAAAAAAAAAGAGTCTTGTTGAATGGGAAAGCAGATATATAAACGGACAATTGTCTAACCCATTGGATATATAACGGGCAATGTCCAAAATTGGCCATTAACCATCAACTCAAATCAACTCCAAATTGGTCACCAGGTCAGGTCGACCTGAGAAAATTTATGGGACCTGGCCAGACCAGACCAAACCTGAAGTTATTAGACCCGGACCTAGAGCCTGGCTCCGAACAAAGCAATGTACCAAGGTTGCTTAGCACATGGTAGGATGCCCTTTCTAGGATAGGGCAACCGTTTGAATCTTTAGAAGATTTTCGTGAAGCTCTTAGCAAGGATGCTACAGCAAATCATTTGAGGGGTATCGTATAAGGGCAAAATGCAAGGGTGGTGGATACAAATGAGAGATATATGCTAGGAAGCTTGATAGAACGAATGTTTTTAGAATCAAAACATGGAAAAGAGAACCACTTATGCACTATTGGGACAAGTAATGATGTACATAGAAGAGCATCACAGAAATTTATTGCATCCTTAATTAAGGATAAATTAAGTGACACTGCGCATTACAAGGCTAAAGAAATCATGAGTGATTTGTTTCGAGATTATGGGTTAGAATTACCCTATTGGAAGGCTTGGTGAGGAAAAGAAACGGCCATCAAATACATACATGGTTCGCAAGGGAAGACATACAACCAGTTACCAGCATATGTAAATCGTATGATAGAGACGAATCCTAGGAGTTCTGCGACATGATAAGTATTGTCAGGTGGTAGATTTTTTTTATTGTTCTTAAGCTTTTATGGGTCAATACATGGCTTAAAAATGGATGTCGTCCACTTCTAATTCTCGATGGAACATCACTGAAGGCAAGATACCTTGAGACTCTACTTGCTGTCAACTCACTCGATAGGGAAGGACAAATATTTCCCGTTGCATTCGCAATTGTAGATGTCGAAAGTACTGAGAACTGTTTATGGTTTATGAAATCTCTAAAAATTGCTATTGGAACGGATCGTGAAATCATTTTTTTGTTAGATAGACACCCTGGTCTAATTAATACTGTATGTCAAGTTTTTGAGAATGTCCATCGTGCCTTCTGTGAGCGTCATTTAGTGGAGAATTCAAGAAAGAAGAAAAACACATACCTAATGATGTTAAGAAGGTAATCATAAATACCTTTATCAGAGCGTGTAAAGCATATAGGCAGCAATAATATTTTGATAAGATGATGGAAATTAGATCACTTTCTGAATATGCATGCAAGTGGTTCATGGAAGCATCATCAAACTGTTGGGTTACGTCACAGTTCAAGGGTAATCGATATGATCAAGTAACAAATGCTTAATTATGTAATTGTAGGTAATCTATCAAATGCAAATTCTTACATGGTTGGTGGTTTGCTTGTGTGCTTGTATAATTGTAGGTAAATATATCTAAGGCAAATACAAATAAGTGATTTTTTTATTATGTTTTATTATAGGTAACTTGGCAACCATATGAGTAGTACATCTGATTAGATATACTCAGTAAAGAAAAGGCGTTGTGCCGATCATATCTGATAAGTTTCCATATTGCAGAGTACTATATGCCTGATCGTATACTGCGATAATTTGGGAAGATGCAAGTGATTCATGTTGGGCCACCCAAGTGGGATAGGAGGGAAATGGTCAGTTTACACCCCACAAGTTGGATTGACGACTTGAGTAGCGAGATAAGCGACTAACAACAATGAGAACGCAATGTTGTCAAGGCAGACATGGATAAATATGGTGGAATGTTATGAATATATGGCATGGTACACCATGTTCACCCATAGATATAGAAATACGCCCATGTGCCCCCCCATGCAGTAGCAAATTTCTCCCCCTTCGCAGGCCATGATGTTAGAAATACTCTCATGTGCCCCCCCTCGCAGCCACAGTCAAATGTGTCCCCTTCTTGCAGGTCATGATGACCATAGGAGATTGGTATATTATATAAATTATGTATTTTAGTTTTTATCGACTTAATATATATTCATTGTAATTATCTATTTTGTTTTTTATTGTCTACTTGTAACGATTAACCTGTATAGGGACGCTATAAGCTGCGCTTGGTGGTAAACTATTAGCAGGGGAATTCAGACGTTATGTACATGCAACCCATGATTTGCTATTGTAAAACACTCATATGGATACAGATGCCAAGGAGATGGTGGAGGGCGAGGGTGGAAGCGAAAACAAGGAGAGAGATAGTGGAGATGATGAAAGCGAGAGCGAGGAGGGAGATAGTGGAGATGAGGAAATCGAGACTGAGGAGGGAGATGGTGGACATGAGAAAAGCGAGACTTAGGAGGGAGACGGTGGAGATGAGGAAAGAGAGAGCGAGACCGAGAGAGATGCCCATAATCAATGCCATTGAACACTCCATTGATATGGACACTATTTTTTTTCTTCCATTTGGAGTCCCAATTGTAAGAAAGTTGCCAGTAGCTAAACTTGATCTGCAGTATTAGAATGCAGTTGCTTCATATCTTCTCATGACAATATAACACTATGGGATGGTGATAGAGGTTGTTGTTGGCATGAGCACTCCCCATAAGCGGCTAGTCCAGCAGTTCCAGGAGGCAGTTGGCACTGAGGTCACTGCAACTCGTGGGTCCGGGGTATGGAACGGGCAGTCCGGCACTGAAGTCACTGTAAATGGTACAATCTGGCATTTGGAAGGGACAGTCTGGTATTGAAGTCACTGGAATTGGTCTGGTCTGGTGTTTAAAAGGGGCAGTCCGGCACTGAAGTCACTGTAAATGGTACAGTTCGGCGTTTGGAAGGCGCAGTCCAGCACTGAAGTTACTGAAATTGGCCCGGTCCGGCGTTACGAAGGGGCAGTCTGGCGAATATGTCAATGGAGGGTGCGATCCAGTGTTTGTAAGACCCGGTCCGACAACGATCTTTGTGGTCCGGCGTTTGGATGTCGCGGTCTAGGGATTTGCTACTGGAGGGGCAATCCAGTATTTTAAAAGTGCGGTCAGGCAATTGATCCTAGATTAATGAGCGATTTGGCATTTGTGAGCTACGATCTGGTGTTTATGTCATTGGAGAGGGCGGTCCGACTGTTAGCAACCGCGATCTGGCTTTTCCTTTTATTAGGTTCTGAAAATGATTTGTTATGTACGGGAAGTATATTTTCGTTAAAAAAATATCTCTTTGTGTTGGGGGGTTATTTGGTACAAGATAGTTTGAGGGAAAAATTTATTAGCAAAACTTAGGTCGGGGTAAAGTGGTTAGAAATATCATGTTGGGGGGTTTTGTGCGATTATCCCTTACAAATTGTTGAAGTGATTTTTAAGTGTTCCGCCTTAAAAAATCTGATGGGGCTGGCCGAAACTTATATTATCTCTCTTCTCGCTGCTGGTGGAGTGGGTGTCTCTCTTCTTCTCGCTGCTCCTGAAGTTGATTCTCGTATACGATCGTTTCTCTCACTTTGCATTTCTTTTTTGGTTTCTCTCTGTTCTTCCTCAATGACGAGCCCCTCTCTGCCCTCAGCCGTTATATCCTCTCTCTCCACAAAACTACCCTCTCCCTCTCATCCCCCGCAACAAATCTCCCCACCATTTTTCTACAATCAATTACATCTCAAAACCTTTGTGTCAAACCCCACTTTTATCCAGAATCCACAATTGGGATTCACCATGCATGCTTCGAGGAGGGCCCCAAGCTTTAGGCAGGTATAACTAGGAACGAATTCTCGCAAACCCATTTTGGGTTTTGTTTTCAGCTGGTTTTGAATTGGGTTTTCTTTTATTTGCAGAGAAAGGATTGAATTCCATTGAAATTTGAATCAGGAAGCTGGAATTGTGAGAGAACCAGTTGGGCACTATGAGGAAGAAGAGGAAATGGAAGAACAGGAGGAAGAGGAGGATGATAGGAGCTTGGATCTTCTGGTTCGGTTTATTCAAAATGTGTTTCGGAAGATCTCGAAAAGAGCTCGAAAGGCTGTGCGCTCAGTGTTGCCCATAGCCATTCCAACTAAACTGGTTAGTCACTGCGATTTCATTATATCATCCTCAAACTCAACAAAAAAAAAAAAAACATCCTGATTAGAATTTATCTTCTTGTTTCTTGATAGTAATATGAAATTACAAGTCTACTTGGAAATTTCTAGATACCCATGATAGTATTGAAGATCTTTTAAATAACATATACCTCATGCTGATGGTGTGGATTTTTTTTGGGCAATCTTTATGCTTAATTGACTTCCTGGAAATAATTATATGACATGGTTTTGATGGACTGTTTCTAACATTTAAATGATATTGTTTTGTTAGGTAAATATTCATCAACACTTTTTGGTTGGAAAAATTGTAGATAAAAAGATCTCATTTTTACCCTTTTGTAAAGCACTACACAGTACACACTGAGATGCTTCATTTCTCAACGGAATCGTGGTTAATTCAGGAAGCTTTAGTCATCGTGTTGTATCTTTTTATCGTTTTCTGACATTTAGGGCAGTTGTACATCTGTATCGAGCTTAGATTTGTATATTTCTTTACCAAGCCCTGAAACTATTCAATGATTAATAAAAAAATAAATAAATAAATAAAAATAATCATGCACCATTGAATTTGTGATCGAAATGATCTAGAGAGAGTAACCAGCAAAAATACCTGGCCGATAATAGAGTAATACCTATTAGTGTACCAAAGCCTGGGCTCTTTGGAGGTGTATTCAGATGGATGCTTCTGGCTACGAAAACTCTTTTTGGAGAAGAAAATGCGAGTACAGGATTTGGGAATTTGATTTCCCGCAACAAAAACTCTCAAAGGAAAATCTACAACAAAATTTTAGTTGCAAATTACCTGTAGATTTTTCAATATGCTGTTAAAGGAGATGATGATATATGAGATAATGATATTTGGAAAGGGCTTTCTGTTTTTATGTTAGTTTTTGGGATCTTGTGGATTTGTGGGATTTGTGCACAGAATGATTGTGATTGCTACAATTATTAGAATATACTAACCTTTTTTTTGCATTACTGTGGATTTAAATTTGTTATGTATTTTTTTTCTCTTTTTATATTCAATATATGTTGACCTTAGTTAGAAATATGCATAAGGGAAAATCAGCAATAACATGGTGACAAAAAAAAAAAGGGGGTTGGTTTGATTTGGAACCAAAAAAAGGGATAGAAAAATGGCGCCTAAATGATTGGTAGGTGAAAATCTAAAATAGTCCGGTTTACACAAGAAGATGGAGTGAGAAAAAGAGAAGATAATGTATGTGCATGTGAATGTGTCTCACATGAAATTTCAACTAAACATCAATTCACAATGAACACCTACTTTGTCGAAATCGACCAATTTTTTTATTTTGGATGGATTTAACTATGCAATTTAACTAGTGTGAAGACACGCTTTTGAGTTGGCCAATTGATTCAACTATCTATTAGGATGAAAATTTGTTGCTTATTGGATGCATGGTTATGCCAATACATATACGCGTGATCAATTTCCAATCTCAAAACAAGTTTTCCTTGTGCAAAATTGAGAAGCTTTCTCCATGGACAGCATTGGGGAAGTTTGTTTGTCTTCAGAAAAACATCCTTCAACTACCATAAAGTTCTTTTTCTGGATCCTCCTGCTACCATAGCCTTCTTTTTCTGGATATATTTATCTTCGTTTTCTTTATAAGAACTATATCATGATCTTTTTTTGACAGAATCGTATTTAAATAGCCAATTAAACGTTTTCCAAGAAGACGCATCTTTTACAGAACCGTATTTTAATAGCCAATTTGCTAACTTTGATATTGACTCAATTGTATCAAATCACCGTAGTAGTTCAGGGGTATCAGGTGTCTGTGATCTAGCATCTGTTATTTCTGTGATACACTTAAAAAACCAAGAATTGCTTTATTCATGATGAGTACTGTCCCTTTCACAGGAAAAAAAAATGTCAAAAATGTAGCACTCATAGGTTTAATGTAATCGATAAAAATATATAACAAAGTTTCGCCTAAGATATCATTCGTTGGTGAGAATGGTATTCCAAAAAAGTGAATTTTGAAGACAAGAATAATGTGATATTGGTTCACGGAGTCTTCTTATTGAGAATATCAGTAATATATTGTGCATCTAAGCTCTGTTATGAGAACTCTGGTTGAACATTCTAAACTACTGTGGATCTGAACTATAATACAGCCTGGAAGGATTGTTTCATACTAAGACCTATATATAAAGATAATATCACGAAGACCGCTTTCCGAAGGTACAATTTCAACTTGACCACTTTCTGAAGGCATAATTTCCACTCAGGCGTCTGTTTCTAGCTCTGCAAATCTCAAATTGATAATCTACCAGAGACCTGCCTCCCAATTTGGTCTTAGATAAACCCCCCAAGTAGTTGCCACCAATCAGAGGCATACAACATACCCCAAATATCGTTCCTAAAGCTACATTTCTGAGCCTCCCTGCCTATCACATGAGTCCCACAGATCATGCTAAGCTTCACCTGCAAGTTGAAGACTCACTGGCTAAGGGGTTTTCTGATGAGAGCACAAGGTCATGTGGAGCATATGTGCACCTTTCTTCCAAGAAAGATGGAACATGGCTTATGTGCATAGACAACAAGACTGAAAAAACAAGTAAAATTGAACTTTTTAGTCCCAAGTCATTGTTTGACAAACATAGATCATTTTCTTGAACATTCTCAAAAGGGTTGGCATATTTATCACATGAGATGCACTCTGAAGTGTTGAGAGCGATGAAGAATAGATTGAAGACAATAGATTCAAGGCAGGAACCATTCAAGATCATTTCAAAGCATGAGATTTCTCCAACTGGAGGAGATTGAAAAGACTGCTTTCCAAAGGATTAATTTGTCACCCAGATGTCCATTTGGAGCGATTTCAAATCTCAATTCCACGATCTCTCCGAGATCTATGACCACTATATCTATAGGTTTTCTGTTATTCGGATGTTTCACGCTCCAAATCATGGTCAAAAGCATGCTGAGAAACTTAGTTATATTAATTTAGTTTTGAAGTTGTAATCCATCTCACACCATCCTCATATCTTTCTGGACCTTCTAAGTTCCAGAACGTCTTAACCCCTTTAGAAACCCTAAAACCTATCTTAAAACTTGCCTAACTCTGGTTCTTACTTCATTTAGACCTCATATTGTCCAATTCTATCCCTGCTGAGAAAGTTCATAAGAGCCAAAACTCTGCTGTCCTGGTCTTTGTAGGTATTTAATCCCTTTAGAACTCCTAAATCCTAAACTTATGAGAATTACCCATACCATTTGTTTCTATGCCCATCGCGTGTCACCTTCGTGTTGGAGCCAAGCCCCCTTGGTCCTACATCAATTTTTTTGTTAGATATGTTCACTGGGGAAGCTTAAGTACCTGTAAAACTGATTCACTCGTATATGATATAAATATGTAACATGTACTTGGAATCTTTTACTTAAACTGGGGCAAATTCTGCGCCTTAAATACACATCATCAAAACAGTGTTTTAATGCACTGAGACTAGGCTATATAGAAAGTCTGGCTTTTTGATATTTTGAATTACTAATTCCAGTTTGATCCCTTTAGGTATCATACTTTTCTCTGATACTTGTCATCTAGCTCAATATTTTTTGGTATTTAGTCATGATCTGCAAACTTGAAGATGAATGGGTAGGCACTTGTACTAATTACTCTTATTACTTTAGATTATAACAGTGGCTATGTACTTCACAATCCCTCGAGCATTTCAATAAGAAACCAATTCTAGAGAATTTTGTTGTGGACTCCATGTTTTGCCCTTTTTGTATTTGTTCCCCAAGAATTAATATCTGCTCTAACTAAAGTTCACGTGTCATTTGACTTTTGGCAGAGATGATTCCTAGTCTCACTGACATGACCAAGTGTTCTCCCCATACTTCAACCTAGGGTTACCAGGACACAATCAATTGTTGAACCAGAAAAGTGAGCATTGCAGTCAGTTATAAAACCTCTTTTCTCCTTAACTATCCAAAAAAGAAGAAACTAAGGTGACCCGCTGGTCCACTTTGACTAGACCATTGACCGCTGGAACTAAGTTTGTTCGACCAAAAAGTGAAACCAGAGAAAAAAAAAGAAAATCTAAATAAACAATAGGAAAAAGGGAAATGTGGTTTGAATTTTGAGCATCAATCAAGTGAATCGATACTTCATAAGATAATAATATGTTTCTCTTGATTCTAAGTTGGAAAAAGATTTAGTTCTTAGAAAACCAAATCACATGACAAGCATCAAGTGATAAGATAAATTGGAATCTCAACCATTCAATCTAACTATTCGTCCAAGATCTTTTGCACTTCAGATATTGAGGGAAATTGATAAAGCGGCTACAAATAGAAATATTGTACAGCATCATTAATGTTCCATCAATCAAGTATATCAACTTCCAGTGTCATGGTCTACTTACTTTTCCTCATTGCCATTCTCATCCTCCTACCTTTTCCCCCTTCTCTCTTTCCGCCATAAGAAATTAATGCTTAGTCAGGTTTTCTATTTAGTAAGTCAGGTTTTCTATTTAGTTGCTTTTGCATTCCTCTATATTGAAATTATTTGATGATCTAGTGATCATGTTCCTCACCATATACATTGTCCCCTGATTGGGATTAGTTTTTTGTTTCATGTTTGTGCCTGTTTTTTTAATGAGATTCTTGTTTGCGTCTTCTTTGATATTTTATTAATTTCTAAGGATATATTATTCATCTCTGGCTAAAGGGATTTGGTCCTTTTTTATTTATTGTTTTGGATGTGCCATGTCATTGCCCTATTCATGTTGATTTTTCTTATCATCCGTGTATAGTTCGTATATGCTCTTATATAAATTCTGCTGACCTGTAACAATCTTACAATTTATTGTAAGAGAGAAAACTTAATTGCAGAAAAGTTAAAAACATGAATAAAGCAAAGTTAAAACATGAATAAAGTTACAAATTTGAACTCATTAATTATACTTTATAGGTTTATCTTGTAATGTAATTTGTATGGCTATTTGCATCATCCTTACACTGCTTTGGCTTCAATGAAATATTCTCTTTTGCCATCCATGACACAATGGGGAGCTTCTATTCATAGAAACAAGAATGTCACCTTTGAGCATGAAATCCTCACAAATTCGTATAATGGAAGATTTTTCTTTTCTGTAGAAATAATTTGCTCCTTAAGAATAGTTTTGCAGCAAGGCTAACCTATGATCCCAAACTATCCAAGGTGGAGACAGAATATCTTTAATATGGAAAAAGGAAAGTAATAATTGGATCTAACGTGTTGTGGATCAATCATTAACTCTGTAATTGGATCTGACATGTTGTGGATCAATCATTAACTCTGTGTTGTTGGCTACCATATCAATTTCAAATACTGAAAATGCACACAAGTTCAATGGAAAATGCACATCTTGGGTCATAACTGTCCAACGAGTTGGATGATGGGAGAGAGTTTGGACTCATCTCAATGGTGGTTTCTACCTCTCCAAATATTTTATTCACAGAGATCTTTGTAAATGCTTTCAAATAAAATAGTTTCCAGGAAATGCCAATATCTTTTTGACCCCGCGAAAGTAGAAATGTTAGTAGGTATTCACTTGTTATTTTCTGTGCTGAGACTATTTCTTAAACATTCAAAATATGTATAAATATTAAGAGGTAAAATACCCCACTCCTTGTGTACAAACTAGATATGTCCTATATGTGACCTCAGCTGACCCTTATCAGCAAGAGATAGCTGACATGAGCCATTTCAACATTTCTCCATCTTGTTGGAGTTGAGTGGAGCAATGGTCCATCTCAACCAACTGCTGTTGATTTGATGGTTGGGACTACATCTAGCGTGCTGTTTGTATGCTACATGCGGTATGGTATACTTTCCTCAACTAAAATTTATTGGTTGGGTCACAAATAATGTACCCCCAAAGCATGATTTAAACCTGATATGAAACCGATACAAGAAATGCACTAACCCAATATCGTATTTTCCTTCATGTATGCGAGTTATATTGGTCAATGCATATTGTAAAATTATTTGACTGTAGAATTTGTTCCATGTCTAGTAGGTAAAATATCAAATACAAAGTATTTGTTATCAGAATTTATTTATACCCAAATCCATAAAAAAATAAAAAAAGAAATACCATGTTTTCCGTCCTATTACCACTTTGTTTGCAACTCATGGATCTTCTGGATTTGTGTTTATTTGTTTCCTGTGTCTAATAACAGGTGGGTTTTTCAGTCAATGGTGTCCTCATAATAGCCTTTCTCTGGGTTTTGAAGGCACTCCTTGAGGTAATAGCAGCTTCGTTTTCGCTCACCCGCTTGCAATTGCAGTAATTTTTTGATCATCCGTTTTGCCTTCTCTCACTTGATGTAATTTGTCCAGGTTGTGTGCACACTTGGAAGTATAGTGTTTGTAAGCATCTTGTTCATTCGGGGCACATGGGCTGGTCTATCCTACTTTCAAAACAATCATCCCACTCATCGATCTAATGGAGGATTATATGACGACGACAGTGCATGGGATGGTGTACAACCTGCTACTTGATTCACTTCTTGTTGTTCAGAGAGAGAGAGAGAGAGAGAGAGAGAGAGAGGTTGTTTTGAAGTTTGTAAAATTATGTACTTGAAAGTTGAGCTACAAAACGAACAATGCATAGAGCTTTGTAGACAAAAGCCAGTCTTGGAGTCGAATTGACTTAATTAAATGTGGAGAAAAAACCAAATGCTCCTGAAGTAATAAAATGTACATTTGCTCCCTAGGTAAAACTCTAACTAGGAGCATTTACCAAGTTTTTGCATGTAAACTATTCAACCTAGAACGGCTTGAGTATCCACCTTTGTTATGCCTTTGGGAAATCACGCCCCACAATTAGACACATATTAGTGTTCATGTATTTTTTAAATAAAAGAAAAAAGTACTTCAAGTATTAAAAATATTTGCATATTGCAGTGCTTTGAAACTGAGCGATTTTTTATCCAGACTGGCGATCTGGATAGGAATCAGTTGGGACTGAATTGATTTCGAGATGGTAGGGGTCCCGGCCTGGTTCCTCCCTAAAATTTCTTTTATGTAATTATTATTTTTAAGCTTATCTAATGTTTTTTTAAGCCCTTTTTAAATCTCCATTTCATAAGTCACTGTTTTAATTTTATTGTATTTATTTTTTAAAATTTTTCTAGATCTCTAATTGAGACTTATCCAAACCTAATTCAGATCGTTGATACAATGATCTGACATAAATCTGTAGATGAATGATCTAACCCACCAATCCAGGTTTTGAGACACTAGCGTAATGTAGCATGCTTTCTAGACGTTACTTTATATTTTAAAGATTTTTAGGTATTTATAGAATAATTATGAAGTTTTAAGTTTCATAGTTTGGGGTAGAAATAGATTTTCAGGCATCATGGGATTTCTGGGCACTGAGATGAAATGCATCTTGTAGCGGGATTTAGAGGTGTCTTTGTTTTAGATAGTTTTAAGCTTGACGCTCTTTATAAATGGCACCTTCCTTTTTTGACCTAGTTTTCTGGGAGATTTTGGACGTGGGAGCTGAACATCCCACTTCCGTGTTTGATTTCGCTACATAGAAGTTTTCGCAGGGAAGGGCCATCCAAGATCTGTCATCGAGAGGCAGGGCCGAGAGTGTGGATTCTTGAGAAAGAGAGCCAAGCAACCTCACTCTCTTCTCCTCCCTTGATTTTGGGGCCCTTCTTTCTCTGTCACTTTTAAGGTTAAGATTTTGGTTATCTGATTTGGGATTGCTTTGTGATTTTGTGGATAAGAGGCAAATGTGAGAGAAAAGAGACGGGTTAGGGTTTATTAGATATAGGGCACATTTCTGGGCTGCCCTTTTTTGGCTCGAAATGGTGGAATTTACAAAATGAAGTTGTAAACGATTTGGGGATTGTTGTAGCAGAAAGAGATTTTTTGTTGCCATAGAAGAGGGTTGAGACGAATATTTTCAAAATGATTAAGGAGGTAAAGTTTTGATTTACCTAAAAAGTATTGTACTGCTTGTACCCCCATCTAAAGATCACTACATGTGTATATCTATCTCTCAAATAGATAAACGTCTCAAGCAAAATGACTAAATGTATGGGTGGATGAGGAAGATGGTTATCTATGGATGATCTGTGAAGCTCCTTGACTCTAGATGGATCTTTATCCCCCAAGCCTTTCTGTGTATCCCTCATTTCTCTCTGAATCTCTTAAAGCTACTGTTCTTTTTGTTATTGGTTCATTTCTCCCACCCACTATTGATATCTGGGGTCTTAGGGATTGGGCTAAGAGAGCCTGGAATCTTCCTTACTCCCCTGTAGTCCTTTCTTTCGGGAGTAACATGATCGTTTTTTTTCCTTTCCTTTACTGATGACGTAAAGTCCTCTTTGTTCACAACACCTGGTGTGTCCGGAATAACTCTTATCAGTGGATTCTTGAAAACCGCGGGATCACGCTAATCTCACTTCATGCTCCCTGTCACACCCCAAGAATTTGCAATACTGATATTTTTGAGATGTGACAGTCAAAACATATATACATCTCTTGATATGAAAAATTTACAGTGGCGAATTCTTACAAAGTAATAAAGAAAGCTTAGGCACAATTACAATATCTTCCAAAGTTACCCTTGAAGAGTACTCAAAATGAAACCGCAGTTATCCTGAAAAATGTTTACCATAGTTTGATGAGTTTGGCTACACAGTAAGTGATCATCATAATCTTAAAAAAATAATCATGATTGAAAGATATAAACGAACTTTCAAAATGGAGGTCAATTTAAAAACAATGCGAACACGAGCATTTTCAGAAATGCACAATTAAACATAATCCAAATGATTAAAATGCATATAACATTTTAACGGCAGTGCATAATTCAAAGATTCCACAAAATTACCCTACTGGCGTCCCAAGTAGGTCACCTATATACCCCATCAGCGTCTTGATGGGTCCACTTAATCTCTATTGGCGTCCCCGATAGGTCCACTTAATCCTGCAGGTCCACTTATACCTCACCGGCATATCGGATGAGTCCACTTAATCCTTATCGACGTCCCAGATAGGTCCACTTATACCTCACCGGCGAACCGGATGAGTCCACTTGCTTACTTAAAGTATTTCTAAATCTCTTTAAACATTCGAAAGCAGTAATATTATGTACTCAACATATCACTGAAATCATTAATATGAATTTCACTGAAACCATTAATAACAGTCACTTTCAATAACATTTCAAAAATAACCAATCAAATATTTTGGGCTCAAATTTAGAAAGGCATTCTAGCATAATTGCCAGTTTAATATGTATAGGAAAAACTCTTATAGAATTTCAAGAATACGAATTATCACAATTTATGGGATATCAATTC